GTGGAACCCGAAAATATATCAATTGAGGTCGGACATCTTTCGACCCATATACTGGAAAATCCTGAAGTCTTTGATGATGAAGAAGAGCAGAGACAACCGAGAATGAGAAGCTTGCAAGACTTGTATGAATCAACTAACGAAGCACATCTCGTTTGCTTGTTAGCAGATTCTGAGGATTTGAGCTTTGAGGAAGCTGTCCGAAATGAAAAATGGCAATCTGCTATAGAAGAAGAGATAAAAGCTATTGAGCGGACTAAGACATGGGAGTTAGCCGAGCTACCAAAAGGAAGTCGGCCCATCGGTGTGAAGTGGGTATATAAGAAGAAGATGAATGCTAACGGGGAGATTGAGCGATTCAAAGCCCGGCTAGTAGTAAAGGGGTACAAGCAGAAAACTGGAATAGACTATAACGAGGTGTTTGCACCCGTAGTGAGGATGGAGAAAATCAGGTTGTTGATCTCACATGCAGCCCAGCTTGGATAGCCGATCTATCAGATGGATGTGAAATCGGCATTCTTAAACGGTGTACTTGAGGAGGAGGTATATCTCGAACAACCTCCGGGTTTCATGAAAGTTGGACAAGAAAGAAAAGTGTTAAGGCTGAAGAAGGCTTTGTATGGGCTGAAGCAGGCACCGCGGGCTTGGAATACCCGTATTGACTCTTATTTCAAAAAGGACGGATTTGAGCAATGTCCATATGAACATGCCCTGTATGTGAAGAAGAAAGAAGGTAATATTTTACTGGTTGCTTTATATGTTGATGATCTAATCCTCTTGGGAAATGATGAAGGGATGATACAAGACTTCAAGAAGAAAATGACAAAAGAGTTCGAGATAATGGATCTCGGTCTGATGAGATACTTCCTTGGTCTGGAAGTCAGACAAGACAAATCCGGGATCTTCGTATCTCAAGAAGTTTATGCAAAAGATATCCTGAAGAAGTTTAAAATGATAGATTGCAATCCGGTTTCAACTCTTATGGAACCCGACTTAAAACTTTCGAAGTATGATGGAGGAGAAAGAGTTGATCCGTGTAATTACTGGAGTCTAGTAGGATGTTTGAGGTATTTAACTTGTACGAGGCCAGACTTGTGTCTAAGTGTTGGGATTATAAGCCGGTTCATGGAAGATCCGAGCTACACACATTGGAAGGCAGCAAAAAGGATATTGAGATATGTTCAAGGAACAATCTCGCAAGGACTTCATTATTGGAAGTCAGACAAGTACAAGCTGGTGGGATATTCAGATAGCGATTGGTGTGGAGATGTTGATGACAGGAAGAGCACGAATGGCTATGTGTTTTTCATGGGAAACACGGCATTCACGTGGGAGTCAAAGAAGGAACCCATTGTGACTTTATCTACATGCGAAGCTGAGTACGTTGCTGCATCCTGGTGCGTTTGTCACGCAATGTGGCTGGGGAATCTATTGAGTAAATTGGAGCAAGAACAAGTCAGCCCAACCGAGATCCGGGTTGACAACAAGTCTGCAATCGAGTTAGCAAAGAACCCGGTCAACCATGAGAGGAGTAAGCATATAGATGTCAGGTTTCATTTCATCCGGGATCAAGTCAAGGAAGGAAAGGTGGAGCTCACTCATGTTGCAAGCCGAGATCAAGTGGGTGACATATTTACAAAGCCATTGTCAACTTTGCTATTAGAAAATTTCAAGAAGAAGATTGGGATGAAGGATGGTCGAAGAATTTAAAGCTTATGCGGGAATTTTGTTGGGATACGTTTTAAATTAAATAAAAGAAAAATAGAAAATGAAAGGTTTATGGTGAAGAGATGTGTCCTTAGGTATCTGTTAGTGGACAATTAATATGTTTAGATTTCCTATGTTAGTCATTATCACTCTTAATCATTTGTTATTGCTTATAAATAGCACACTGTAACTCTTGTAAAACGGCGAGGCAGAATCAGTAATAGAATAGAGGTATATTCAGAGAATTGTTTGTGTATTTATGTGTGTGAGCACCAGTTATAGGGCCTGTAAAATAACAGTGTGGTGCATTTTGGAATTTTAAAGGGACTTTCACTTTCTTTTTCCTGTTTTTTTCTTTCTTTCATGATATTTTCTGTTTGTTTCAAGAGGATTTCTGGTCTTGCTATTGTGTGTTCACCTTTACTTTTAGTGAGGTTTTGTTTGTTTTTTCTACCAATTAAATATGTATATTGTAAGAACCCGTACTGTTAATTAAGGTATTTAATTAATGAATTATGCAAAAATAGGAAATGATTCCACAATTGACCCTAATAATTATTATGAGGCTTAATAATCATAATAAGTGAGTTAGAATGCTGAAAGTCGCTTTTCGGAAGAAAAGTGCAGAAACCGGTTCTGTTAGTCAGTATAAATGCGTACCGAAAAAGTATCCCGGAAAATTAAAGTAAGTGCATGATAGTTACTAGAATAATATGTAGGACTTGTAAAACGAGTTTCAAGTCCAAATAATGAGAACTGGTGCTAGAAACCGGTACTGGCTTTAAAAAGCGCGTACCGGAAAAGGTGTTCAGAAAAATATAAGAAAAATATGTTAATTCTTGAAAGTTTATGTAGTTTCATAATCCAAAGTTTGGGATTAAAATGTTAAGCGTAACAATTAAAGTTAATACTGCGTGCTTAAGTGAGTTTTGGCTATAAATACTCTCATTATGGGCACAAAACCCTAGGATCAGATTTCTATACGTGAGTTTGGGGCTGACCATCTGGTGGTTACTGTTCCATTGGCTTTCCTTCCATTTCTTGAGCTAAGTTGTGATCTTTCTTGATTTTCTTCACATTTCCTCCTTGTAAACACTTGTGGGTGGCTTGGTGAGGGTGAAAGATAGCTTGTCTTGGTGTTCCAGCTACTGTGTTTGAGGGCAGTGGGCTGAGTTGGTGAGCTTGAGTTGGTTGAGCCTTTGTTAAGGCATTTTGAGCTACAAAGTATCACCGTTGGGGAAGAAAGAACTCATCTTGTTGAGCCATTTTCGTTTTCCTTGGAAGTCAGAGGTGTTGGGGCTGTGGGTGAGCTCCAAGAGCATCTCCATTCTGAGTTTTGAGCCTTGGTATGTTGTACCAACCTTTAACTTGAGTTTTAAGGCTTAAAAATGGTACCTTGATGCATCTAATGACTAAAAGATGATAACTTGTTGTTGGGTAATGTTGAACACGTCTAGAAATGCATGATTAGGTGTTTAAAATCGGTAAAAAGGGAACCTTTAAGTGATATCTTCACGAAAATGCAGAAACTGCATTCTGTCGTGAAATATCCGGATATTTGTCGAACAGATATCCGGATATTGGATATCCGGATATGTGGTTTTGGGATATCCGGATACTGGGTATCCGGATATGTGAATCTGTATATCCGGATATTGCATATCCGGATATGGACAGTGAGATATCCGGATATTGCATATCCGGATATGGTCCCGAGGAATATCCGGATATTCTTGGATTTCGCAGAACAGTAGCTGTGCTGTGTCTACAGTAGGCTATTAGGAGTTTGTGGACCCTAGTTTGATGAAGTTGAACTTCTGTATTTAATGGACTAAGCCAGAATCATGGGATTGAGGGCTTGTGGCTTTGTTAGAAGCTTTAAGACTTGAAAACGTAATGAAAAGGCGTTGTCTTTAATTTGTATGCATGTGGTACATGTTTATTGATTTATATTTGGTCCATATCAGATTGTGATCTGCTGTGGTTGGACTTTGAGCTTGTAGCATTGGATAGCTAGCTTAGAGGTAAGCTTTCGTGTCCTCGGTTTAGCCATGTTGTGGTTCCACCATGTCCCATGGGGATATGGTATATGCATGTTGTGTTACATGCTTTTGATGTTTTTGAAATGCTGTTGAGCTATTGTATGTTAGTGCCTTGTTGATATGCATGGAGGTGTTCCACCTATACGGTAAGCCTGAGTATGTGGAACATACAAGAGGGTGAGGCTGTGGGTGAGGTGCAAGCGGTGTTCCTTGTACTACATGTAGGGAATAGACGTATTCCTACATTTCTCTGGCCAGTAGATAGTGATAAACACACATGCCATAGATAACTGTTGCACTACATAGTTTTGGAACTGATAATGATATAAATGCTTTTTGAACTTATATTGCACATGTAAGTGAGCTTGGGGTGGAAGATCCTTGAGGACCCCTTGTCTTACTGAGATTTTTAGTTTAGAGATCTCACCCCACGTTTGGGGAATACTTATTTCAGGGTCAGGTAATGTTGAGACCTCAGGCGGCAGGAGGCCGGAGGTGAGTTAGATTTGCTGTTATTTATGCTGACATGTTGGATGCTGGATTTGCATGCTGCTTATATGCTTATAGCTTCAGTTTATGTTTATGGAGTTTTATGTTGAGACTTGTTGTTTACGCTGTTTATTCGGTGAGCATGGGAATTGTCCATGACACATAGTGTTGTTATGTCTCGTTTATGTCTTGAGTCTTTGGAGTTGTATTAATGTATCAGGATACTGTCCGGATTACGAGATGTAATACCGTGATTTAGATACACACTTTATTTATATATATTGAGGTATTTCAGTAGATGTCTTGTTGCAATTTACATACAGGCGATATTTTATGAAACTGATTAAGTAATCAAGTTGGTAATCGATAATGATGTCATAATTGAAAAGAAAAAGAATATTCCGCATTTTTTTAATTAAGCACCGCTTAATACGATGTAATGTTAATATTCTGGGTATACACGGCATGTTTGATATATCAGGCTTTGTTCTTGATCTCAGCATAGCACATTTTTGGCAAAACATGGTTGATATGATTCAATATGATCTGGATGGTAAAAGTCAGGTTCCTTAGAAATGAGGACAAGGAATATGTCAAAGCCTTTAAAAGGAGAACCTTGTTTCCACATTTCAATAATTACAGCCAATAACTAACCAATATTTAGCATCCTATTAGATTCGTTACACACACACACACGCATACACATATAGTACTGATTGATAAACATAAGAAAGAAAGGAACATGTGACTCATCAAATGCCATATTCAACATTCCAGCTTGTTATAGGTACAAAAGGCACACCGTTCCATTCATGCTACTTTCACAAAATATGAACATGTACACACTATGAAAAGCTATGAAGAAAACAAGAGAGTTTCCTAGCTTTCTTAGTTCGGATCCAAGGGGACACAAGTCAGAAAGCACATAGTGTGTAGAAAGAAACTATGGTCAGCAAGAACACACAAAAAAACACCTCAAAAGAGGGAGAAAGTAGAGGTTGGAAGAGGTGAACCTCTCTTTTCTGTCTCTCTCTCTTGTGTGTTTTGACTCTTTCTATGCAGTAAAAGTGTAAAACAACACACAAAAAGAAAAGTGAGGGATAAGAGAACTATGCCCTTTTCTAAAGGGTCTTTGTTCTGTCTCTTGTCATAGAGCAAGAGAAAGGGATGCTACTATGTGAAAGAACTGAAGTTGCTCTAATAACTCTTTGCCATGACTTGTGGCTCTGTGCTCCACTCTCAGAAACAGCTCCTCACTAAGCTTGTCACCAATATGAGCATCAACAAGGACACCAGACACACTCTTGCAGCTAGTGGCTAGAGCCTTTCCTACTTCACTTGCATCATCTGGCTGGTTCACCACGAGAGGACTTCCTCCTTTGAAAACCTCAAGCTTGTTTATGACAAATGAACCATCTGCTTCAACCAGCTCCTTGAAGTCTTGCAGGCTTGGTGCATAAACTGGGATGTTAAAATTGTCTCTTTTCTCACTGCTAATTAATCCCTGTGATCAAGCTATGATTTAATTAATCCATATACCATAGACACATCAATACATAAAAGGAAACTATATGCTTAGATTGGTTGAAAAAGCTTGAAAAGGAGACAATTGACCGTTCTCAACCAAAGTTGGAAACTGTGTACTCATGACCTCATACACTTGATTAAAGATTTTGCTTTTGATGAAAGAGGTTTTTCCAACTGAAGTGACTTAGAAAATTGTCCTTTTAAGTTTGATGCCAATTCTCAAATAATGTTTAGAGTTTAGACATATTTTATGTGCTACAAAATAACTCTGAGTCCTATTATGAAGGTCTAATTATATTCTGTACTCTGTTTATTAATGTATTGAATGCCTAATTAACATGATGTGGTAGAGGATAATAAGTAGGTAGAAGACTTTGGCACTGTTCAAAGACTGTACTTTTGGGTCCCTTAGTTCACAAATCATTAGATAAAAATGAATCAGATGAATGCAAACATCCTTCTTGTCTAGCTTTAATGTATGATGATGATTATGTGTGTTCTATACATCCAAAACCAAATTGTTGGTTAATATTTTGGACCAGCTGTTAATTATTATTTCTTCCAACATGATGATGGATTTAAGGATCAACTTGTTTGAATCATGGCAAGTGAAATAAAAATTGTTAATCATGGCAAGTGAAATAAAAATTGATGATAAGTTATTGTGAAGACTATAACAATTGATCATTTCTGTCTTTTTCTATCTCCCTATTGTGTCTAAAAGTCCTTTTTGGTCTGCCAATGACAAATATATAGACTGTGTGGTTGTGGTGTGCACTGTTTCACACACTAGCATGCATAAAAATGTTTGTGAATATGATAATTACCTCCTGGACAAGATCTTCCCAAGCATCCTGAAAGTGGGTCCCAAAGAGGAGGCCACCCCCACCTTGGTCTGTAGGGTCCACTGAAGTTCTGCCTAAGCAAACCAAAAACATTGACCCCCCTCTCTTCATCTCCACTGACCTTGACCTCAGGAAGCCTGCCAAGTCAGTTTGGAATTGTTTCTTGTATGCATTTGCTGTCATCTCACTAGCACCATGGATAAACACCCTCCCCTTGTTATATGCACTTGATCTCTTGTCCAGAACAGATTCTGGTATCTGCATGTCACAAATATCATATCAGAAAAAAAAACTATTCCACATTAAACTCCAATGTTAAGATAATTTTGTAGGCAGTCTTACTCTTTTATTTATATATATATATATATATATATATATATATATATATATATATATATTAGAAATATATATAATATAAAAGACAAATCGTGTTACAGAATGCTCCCTAATTTGCGAGGGTAAGGTTAAGGATATAAATTTAATATAAAAATTATTTATATACCTACACTTTAATAGGTCAATCTTTTAGGAGATCAATTAGTTGTAAAATATAATATTAAAAGCTCTATGACTAAGTTGTCTAAGTTGGTCCTTCCCACCCCAATTTTTTTAATAAATAATGTGGAATTTTTTCTTAATACAAGATAAATGGGCATAGACATTGTCCATCCTTCAAGTTCAAAAGATTCATGTGTGAGATGATGTATTAAAAATATAATATAAAAATCATTTATATATTTTTACCTACTATATTAAGATTTTGAGAAAATTGGTTCTGTGACAAACCAAAAGTCAAAATATTGAACGCAGTTCAACACGTCAGCATGTCTCTCATTTGCTAATCAAATCCAGCCGGCCCCGTATACTTACAAATAAAAAAAAATGCATGAAGTTGAAGAACATTATTTGTTTACTATACATGGATTGAGAATCAGTCCAGATACATCGCTACGAACCTGAAATAAGGTCGTTTTTCCAACTCTAGAGACCATGGATTAATTGGTTGTATAAACTTTTGACCATAATTTAGGACTTGGCCTTCAAATTAATGCATTACTCGTGTAAGGGGTTATTTATTATATTATCCTTAGAAAGTGACAAATATTTCTTTTTATTTTGTCGTAGAAATTACTGCTTAGAGACTACGTAGATTCTTTGATGAGTGGGGTGGGAGTGTGAAAGAGACCTTATATATGAAAGTCATAAAAGGGAGAAAATTAAACGCTTAAAAGCTGTCTAGCAAACTAACGCAATCGTTATTCACCAAAAGTTTTCAAGAATTGTATAGTAACTTAAAGTTGGAATTTTGATCAAAAGCTTTAGAAAAGAAAGAGAAGTCACAGAATGATTTGAAATCTAATAATTTTGTGCAATTAATTGACCAGTTCATGTTACATCGAAAGTTCAAGAAAAATTTATCATCTAATAAAAATGAAAATATTCATATTACCTTTATTTTCTATTTCTTTTTTTGAAAAAACAAAACAAAACAAAACTATATAAATACATCAAGAGAAGAAAAAGACAAAAAGAAAAAGAAAAAGAATGAGAAAAATATTAACAAGACTTGAATACCTGAGATAACCAATGCAAGGAAAAGGCTGAGTGGAAAACGTCAATGAACCTCGCCGGAAAAAGCCTCCGATAGAAAGAACCGGGGACTCCGGCAGCGAAGTAGGAGCGGTGGTTATTGGCAGCAAGGCACTCTTCCATGCTGACTCCATAGTTGGCTAGCGGTGGAAGAAGCTGGAAGAGTGTGTTGAAGTCATTGCTAGGAAGGTCTGAGAAGAAAGCAGAAAACTCAGGTGGGTCTAATCCTAAAGCCTCATAACGCTTGATGATGTGCTTGATGATCACATCCACCACGTTGATGGTGTTGCTGCCACATGAACACCCCAAGTCCACCACCACAAATGGGATGTTAGGGGCATGAAGCTGAACACCATCCATGTTTTCTTTCAGAAGGTGTAGCATGGACTCGGCATGTATGGCCTGCACATATGTACAGAAATCATCATAGATTATAATGGGAAATTTTTCTTTCAAAAATGAGGGTGAGCATATAACCGTAGTAAAGATCACGGGTTTGTTTTCGAGAAAAAACTTCTTTGCAAATATATTTGGCCTCGTCCGAATTCAACGGGGAGTGATTTTTATTTTTGAAAAACAACATATTATCCGTCTATATATGTATGTTACTATATATAGACCTTATGTGAGCATATATACATGTATATATCAAAAGCTTATTTATAACTCACTAGGATTTGTTTAGAGTTCATAGGTTTGAACCCAGTGCCACCATTATATTTAATAAAAAAAAATAAAAAACACTTACTTTTGAGTTTGAGGGTATGTGAAAAAAAAGTACTTTTTATTCATACTTTGATAGCTAAAAGCTGAGTTTGGAGGCTTCATTATGTTTGTAAATGGAGAGGGAGAGAGAAGAATTAGAAAGATATAGAAAGAAGGTAGAGGATACCTGTGCTTGGGAATTGTTGGCATAGCTAGCCTCTCCTTTGCCTCCTTTCATGCAAAGTAACCTCTCTAGTTCCATGTTGGATACTACAACATTGTCTCCCATATACTCAATATAAACCTTCACTATGAAGTGAAATATATGAACTAGAAACTAAATGGAGAAAGAGGGTGAGAGCGTCATGTATATTTGGTGTTGGGTTTCTAGGTGTCTATAAGGGCTAAAATGAGAGAGCATAGAGTTAATATATATAGACAAACGAGGGGAACACTATTATGAATTATGCCTGCTATATTCCATAGGTTCCTAGCTACCATCTAGATACAAAGGGCAAGTCTCAAAAACAGCAATTATTGATTTACTTAACAATTAAAATGGGAAAAACCAAGTACATGAAAATAAAATACATAAAAAGTTGTTGAGTATAGAATATGGGCCTCACATGCGAGATGGAAGGCCCAAGATTGACGCCGGATTTTGGTTTTTATATTCAGCAAGCAACTTATAAAATTGTTGGGATTGAATTAAACTGCTATCCCTTGGATGACACTGCAAATAAATGAATAAATAATCTGCCAAGTAACTTTGCATTGCACCACTCTCCTTATAGTTCCTTAGAAGTTTTTCTCAATTTATGGTTTTTCAGCAATTTTATAACTCAAGCAAATTAGCACCACAATTTCAAATGATCAATCTGAAATTTTAATTTTTCAAATTATCAGGAACAATCTTAAGATGAGCAAGAGTTTTCTTATAATTTAAAGATCAAACACATTGCATAATCATGAAATATATTTTGCAAAGTAATTAAGACTATATTATTTCTGTATACGTAATAAACTTATTGGAGAAATATATATAATATATACCAACCATTTTGAAAAGCCAAAATATATAGAGTGCTTTCGGACTTATATAGCATTGGTTCCCATATACGTTGATCTTAGCTTGTGATATAAATTATGCAATCCGCAAAAACAAGTACAAAATCGTAAGGTAGTAAGTGCTATATAGTATATATAGATTTTCATATTATACAATGTTATAGATAGCCCTTTCGCCCTAAATAGCAGAAGATTAGTTCAAGGCATCATGACCCAAATATAAATAATTAACGAGGCTACATATATATAATAATATAATGGTAGAGAGCTTTAAATTAATGTAGAGGAAATTATTTAGTAATGATGCATGTTATAAGAGAACCACTCCATCTAATTCTCTTACTTTGTCAAGCGTTCTTTCTCCCTTAATTTGGTAGTATTAAGTTCTCACTTTTTAAGTTTTTTTTTTTCTTAATGGGAGTGTGGCCACTATTCTTTGTTAACAACACTTCTCATATTTTTTTTTCGTACAATTTTTCCTCTAATATAAATTTATCCAAATGTTTTACATAGTTTTTTTTTATAGATTTTAAAAATGGGATAGGTTATTCTATCTATTTGTTTTCATGCTTACTTTCTATGGCAAAAAAATTAATTTAATGTTTTTTAATAAAATAATTACGCATTTATTACAGTTTTTTAAATAAATACGGATCTATTGCACAATGTCGCGCTCTTTTTGGGTGTCACATGTCACGCCCAAAGAGGGCATCACGTCCTGGTGGGTCACGCCCAAACCAGGCATGACATGTGACGCCCAAAAGGGGCGTCACCCACCCAGCCTATAAAAACCCCCATTTTTCCATTTTTACTATTTCACTCTCACCCTAACCTCTTTCTAACCAAGTTGTGCTCTCAACTATTCGTGGGATTTTTTGTAGCGAAGCTCTGCCAACTTAGGTAAGTTCCTAATACCTGCTATGTATATGTTTAAATTACAGTGCTACGTTACGAATATGTTAGGATTTATCGTATATTAGAGGCTGTGAAAATAATGATAGTGACTTAGGAATTTTGTACTATGTTATGAATGTTGTAATGACTTAGTGTGATTTTTTTGTTACGTAGCTATTATTATTATAATTTAATTATGCATTGGGGTTTAGCGTATATTAGTGATTTAGAAAATAGTGATAGTGACTACGTAATTTGTGTACCATGTTATGAATGTTGTAGTGTTTTAAAAACTTGTTAGTGACATAGGTGTTATTATTATTATATAATTATGAAATTATTAGTGATATAGGGTTTAGTATTATGTCATTGCAATTTAATTAGTGTCCGAAGTTTAATTATTATTTAATTACAAATAAATTAGTGTACTATGTATTAATATTATGTCATTAATTACGATTGTAGTAAATACGTACGGTTCATGCTTAATAATTTTGATAATAAATTAGGGCATTACTTAATTAATTTGTACATAAAATTAGATTGTACATGTGATTAATTTCAATGTTGTTTTATTTTATATGGTTGTTTATCATGGGTGATTCATCATCATCTGCTGGTTCGACATCCGATCCAGAGCCTACCAATCCTACTATGTACATCATATCTGGGCCGTATAGATGGGAGGTCATGCGGAAGAGGACGCAGAGTGGCCATATTTCACAGCGAGTGTGGAATATGGAACATGTGCGTAAATTGAAGACCAGGCGTGGAAAACCACAGGGAGGGCTACCTACCGGCGCTATTCTAGAGGTTGTTGTCGACTACCTCACACAGGCTGGATTTATACATGTTGCACGCATGCGACATATCCAGGTATGCAATTTCCGACGTTACAATTGATGTGATTATTCAAGACATTGACTCAACATGTGATAATTGTTTAATTTTCTTCAGATTGATGCCCCATTGATTAGTGCTCTGGTCTAGAGGTGGAGACCAGAGACACATACGTTCCACATAACACAAGGTGAGATGACTATCACATTGCAGGATGTGGTCGGTATCCTAGGATTGCCTACTGACGGGCATGTTGTTATCAGATCTACATCAGAGGATTGGCCTGCTGTTTGTGCTGCCATTTTTGGTGCGGAGCCCCTGGCCAGTGAGTTTCATGGATCAGGTGACCTCCACATCTCATTCTTCGATCGTTTATGTAAGAACTCGCACCGTTAATTAAGGAAATTAACTAAATAATTATGTTATTAATGAAATAATTCTATAATTGACCTTAATAATTATGAGAAGGCTTAAATAATTATAATAAGTGATTAAGAATGCTGAAAGTTGCTTTTCTGACGAAAAGTGCAGATACCGGTTCTGCCTCACGGTATAAATGCGTACCGATGAAGTATCCCAGAAAATTATGAAAAGTATGTATATACAACTAGAAAATATATAGGACTAGCATAACAAGTTTCAGATCAAAATAATGAGAACTGGTGGCAAAACTGATACTGGTTAAGTAAAAGCGCGTACCGGAAAGGTGCCGCGAAAAATAAAATAAAAATATGATAAATCTTAGAAAAATGAGTAGGTTCAGAATCGTAAGTTTGGGATTAAAATGCTAAGCGTAGCTATTAGTTCTAATACAGTGTGATTAAGCTTAATCCGCCTATAAATAGAATAGCACAGCTCCCTAGGTCAGAAATACCACTCCTCTGCATGCCTCCATTTCTGAGTTTGACACTCTCATGCTTGCCACCCTATTTTCTTGAAGAAAACTCAACAAAACTCACTCATTTCCCTTGATTTTTCCCTCTAAACCATGGTAAACACTTAGTAGAGTGTATTGTGAGGTTGAAGGTCAGTTTTGCTGGTTGTGGGTACTATTTGGGGAGGCTTAGGGTGCTATCTCTGAGTTGTGTGGAGTGAGAACCTTCTCCCTTGGTATTGTGAGCTTCAAGGTGTGATCTTTGAAGAGAAAGGATGCTTCTTGGTGTGCCATTTTCGTGTACCTTGGAAGTCAGATTGTAGGAGCTTCATAGAGAGCTCCAAGAGCATCCCTCTTTTCTGTTTTGAGCCTTGGATAAGTTCCATCACTTTGATAATGAGTTTCCTTTGTTAAAGATCAAGTCTTGGCATGTTTAATAAGATGAACAAGTAACCAACATGATAACTGGGCTAAAGGGGCTTAAAGATGCATGCTTGGACGTACTAATGTGTTAAAAGTGGAACCTTGTAAGTGATATCTCACGAAATGCAGAAAATGCATTCTGTCGCGAAATATCCGGATATAGGGTCTTGTGATATTCGGATGTGGATATCCGGATATGATGTTCAGATATGGATATCCGAATATGGATATCCAGATATGCCCCCGACATATATCCGGATATTCTGGGAATTTTGAGACAGTAGATGTACTGTTCATACAGAATGGAATTTTGGGTTTGTGGACCCATGATTGGCTAATGTGGACTTCTGTAATAATTAATCTAAGTCAGAATCTAAGTGAATAAGGGTTTGTGGCTTTGTGAGAAGCCTAAAGACACGAAACGTAAAGGGAAAACGTTGTCTTTATGTTACATGTTTATAGATTATGAGTATTGATATGATTGTTGGTATAAACAGACTGTGAGAGTGTTGTTTGTGGACCTTTAGCTTGGTTGGACTCTTATTTGGATTGATTGCATAGAGGTAAGCTTTTGTGTCCTTGGTTTAGCCATTGTTGGTTCCACCATACCCCACGAGGGAATGGTTTATACGCATGATGTGTTTTCATGTATTGATTTATTAAAATGCTTTTGAGTTGTTAAGTGCAAATGCCTATGATATGTATGTGGTGTTCGCCTAGACGAGATTATGATCCTGTGGGCAGGTACGACATGGGCGTATACTATTGTGGGTTGTAGACGAACGTACATCCTACACTTCCTCTGATCAGTAGAATAGTTAACACACATTACATGATGATATGCTGCATTGCACTGATTTTGGAACTTATATGATATTACTGTTTTTGAACTTATATTGCACATGTAAGTGAGCTTGGGGTGGAGAAATCCTTGAGGACCCCTTGCCTTACTGAGATTTCTGTTTAGAGATCTCAGGTTCAGGTAACTCGGGGGTTGAGACCTCGAGCAGCAGGAGGCCAGAGCTGAGTTAGATATTGCTGATTATACTATGATGCTTGGATGCTGTTATGTTCTATCTTTATGATTATGTTGTTATTGTTGAGACTCTGCTGGGCTTGTTGCCTTATTTGGTGAGCATGGTAGTTGTCCATTCCACATTGATTGACTATGTTTATTTTGTTTCGACTTGTATTAATGTATCAGGATTATGTCTAGATTACGTGTTGTAGATCCGTGACTTAGATACTCACCTTTATTTATATATATTGAGGTTATTCAGTGTAG